GGGGGGGTGTCCTCATGACTCAATGAATCTGCGCAGCACAAGCTTGCAGCAGGAGGAAGATGAACATAGCAATCAATGGCTTTTCCTGGTAGGCTACTGTATTTTTCATTATTTTAACCAGCCGCGTTAAAGGCATAGTTCAGAAAAAAAAAACACATTTAATGTACATATTTATTTATGTTATCGGTATATATTTAATTGAAAGGTTAAAAAAAACGTGTAAATATCTAATGTTACAACGTGGACATCCACGACTTATACACAAGCGTAGCCTAATATGTGTACTTATTTGTTTGTGTGTTTGTTTCTTATTTAGTGTGAGCGGCCTATATTTGAGTGCTCGCCATAGTCTGGAAATCACAGTAAATATTTTAAGGGAAAATGATAGCACACAAAAAAAATCTGATTCAAGCTCAAGAGGTTCTACTTGCAAATGTAGTTCACCTGTCAAGGAGTCTTCATCTGGTGCTGTTGGCACATTTGAGTCCGGCGTGCACACCTGGTTGTAGGTGAGCCCTCCGATGACAGTGCAGGTGACTTCCTCCACATTTCCGCTGCCCATGTTGAGTTGGATTCCTTCTGACGCCAAAGCCTCGTAGCTGGAACCCGTGATGATAATTAGCTAGAAAAAAATCCAAATGTTATGAGTTGGACTGCAGTTACTGCTGTTAACCATCTCATCTGTGCGAGGCATCGATTCACGGACCTGTGAGCCTTCTAAAGCCGTCCTCTGGTTAGGGATCTCACAGCTGGTCACAGCTGTCTGTGGGTCGAACAGCTCAGTCTGACCCTGAGCTGGTGGCGGGACGGACAGCTCATGTTGAGCACCCAGAGGGACAGGATCGTTCAAGCTCTGTGAAAGCACCGAGTCCTCATCCGTCTTCTCCAATTCATCTGCCAAGGATTCCAGCTCATACCCATGCCCCGCAGTCCGGATTCCCTCCTCTCTGTGCTGCTCCCCCACTCCCTCTCCTCCGTCCTCGCCTTGCTTCAGATCCTCTGCAGGGATGGAGTGCAGCGCTGCTGTAAGGGAACCCTGCTGCTGCACCATCTCCACCTCCCAGGCAGGCTGTCCGGTCAGAGGAGCACCCCCAGAGGAGGCCTCTGGGCTGGACCTGCGGTGTAGACCTGAGGCCTCTTCAGTCTGGATAAGGGCTGTGCACTGCTCCTCAGAAACATTCTGTCCAACGTCTACAAAAGGAGCAGATCATAAACTGATACATTTAAAAGAAAGAAGAAACAAAAGCATAAAGTTACGCTGCTGCACCTTTATACAGTTGATGAGCCTCTCTTCGCCTCTGTCTGCTCATGGACTCTATATCCAGAGGTGTGTCCATTTTATCCATCCCCTCTTCATCACTGTCCCCGTCTCCTCTCTCCTCGGGCTCCGAGTCACTTGGCTCCCTCAGCGGAGAGAACAGGTACTGCACAAACGAGTGATTTGAGTCACACTGCCACTTTGCAGCGGTGGAAAAGTCAGGCTGAGGCTCCAGGGCCTGGAGCTGGGGCTCGTGGGGGCAGGAGCCCGAGTGCTCCTGGTACCAACACACCAGACTCTGGAGGCTCGACACGCGCTGCTTCCTGCCTGGAACAAGAAAAAGGAAACAGCTTACCAAGAATATGGGTTGACTCTAGTTTTGATTGACATACAGTGAAAAACAGCAGGTCAAAAACACATTTATGTTAAGTGTAAGAAAACAAGCACAAACAGGAAGAAACTGTCAGAAGATTAGAAGACCAGGTCAACAAGTGGTACACTGATGTCCCCCGTCACTGAGGAGTTAGAGGTTGGTTGTTTTCTAGATGGTTGTTTTTCCAAACTGGAACTAAACAGGAAATACAAGCAGGCCTTAATGGTTTTGGTGCAAGATATTCTAGTGGGTAGTAGGACGTGCACTGTGTGCAAGGACAGAGGTAGTTCTTGTTTTGTTTGAGGCGGTGCAGAATGATGGATCCTGGTGAGTGGAGAGAGCAATTTTAAGAAACAGGAAAAGTTTACAAGACAGTGGTGAGACCAGCTACGTATGTTGTATGGTCTGGAGACAGAGACATGGACAAAAAGGAGAAAGAACTGGAAGTGTCAGAAACGGAGATGTTGAGGTTCTCCTTATGATTGACAAGGATGGAGAAGATTAGGAATGAGATCATCAGAGGTTGAACAACTGGAGATAAAGTTCGAAAGACCAGACTGAGAAGGTTTGGACATGTCCTGAGGAGGGACAGTGGGTATACTGGTAGAAGGATGTTAGAAATGCAGCTGCCGTTCACTTCATTCAATGGGAATCGCACTTCACACACAATCCCTCCTCTTTGCAGGTGTGGGCAAATACATTTTCACACCTCATTACCATACTTGCTGCCTTACAAGTCACACCGCCGTAGAAGTCGCATCAGTCCAAAAATGTCTAATAAAGTGGGGAAAAAACATAAATACGTCGCTTCACCATATAAGTCACATCTATTACGCGTCACCGCTGCCAACCCAGAAACATGGGCCGGTGTTGTGCCAAAAATCAATTGGCTGCTAAATGTCGGATGCTGGAACGTGCACGGGAGAACTAACACGAATTTAACAAGATTAACACTTAAAAACAATTATTTGTTTGCTTGACACTATATCAAAGGTGTATCTCAGTTGAACTTTTCCTTAATAAATGCACTTTAACGGTCAAATCAGCTGCATTTCTCCTGGTCTGCGCGGCAAAATGCAGCTGACTTGACGTTTGCTTCAGGAGTTCCGGTGCGAGACGAAGGTGGCTCTGTATGGCAAGCAAAGTGTCTCATTAATAGCCATTTTACCTACTAATGAGACACTTGGTTTGCCATATTAGTCGAGGGCCCTCTAGTGGCTGAAAATAATAGTGTTCAATATTTTCCATGTAAGAATGAATGAAACCATCAGATCACAGCCAAAAATTGTGTTATAAATATGGGGGGAACATAAAAAAGTCACTTTGCTGTATAAGTCGCAGTGCATGATAATTTATGCAAAAAAACTGACTTATACAGCGAAAATTACAGTACTTATTTAAGTGTCTCTCACTCACTGTCCATTAAATTCCAGTTTCCTGCATCTAGACACCACTTAACGTGCAGACAGAAGAAACACATGCAGGACACGTCTGTATCTGTTTATTTAAATGGAGGCGTGTCAGGGGAGGTGCCTCATGTGCGCTCCTTTCCATGTTTGTTCTGATGTATGAAGGAAAGGTGAGCAAAAACGTGCATGTGCACAGTTAAATAAATATGAATATTTTTGTGCACACGCAGTTTTCACATTTTGTCTGTACACCAGCTTCCAGCATGAAAGCTGCACATTATTTCATACATGCCTCGGGTCTTCAAGTTCTACAGAAGCCAAGTTAATCACTTGTTTAAATCAGGTGTGTTGGAGCAGAGAAACCTTGAAAACCTGCAGGATTACGGTGACATTATTTACATGAATGCTCCTACAAGAACCCTGCAGATGTTGGATGCTGTCTATCACGGTGCACTAAGGGTCATAACTGGCTGTGATTATCGTACCCACCACTGCACCCAGTATTCACTGGTTAACTGGACATCATTAACTTCACGCAGACTCTCTCACTGGTACATTTTCATCTTTAAATCACTTCTTGGTCTGCTGCCTTCATACATCTCCTCCTACATGTCTCTGCGTGAGTGCAGCTACAGCGTGCGCTCTCAGGACATTATTACCTGCAGTGTTCCCTCAATGAGGACTGAACTAGGCAAAAGGACCTTCTCCTACTCCGCTCCTGTTTCCTGGAATATCTTACAAAAACATTTGAAGCTCTCGACCTTGACCTCTCTAAGTGGCTTCAAACATCTGTTGGACTCCTGGCAGGGACCAATGCTGACATGTTCCTGTTTTTAGTTTTCTACCTTAGAATCTAGCTGTTTTTTGTTACTTTTCTTAAACTGGCTTCATATTTTGACTTATTCCCAAATTCTGTGTAAGCAGCAGCTCCTTCAACATTGTGTGATACATGCAGACATCACAAGTATTCACCTCGGTGGAGTTTTCCTGCACCTTCTCCTGTGATCTTCTCTCTGTAACGCAGAACATTTGCAATAAAACTACGAAGAACGTGCATGTAATTGTGTGCAGCCCTGCTTGCTCTCGTGCAGACAGCATGGCTGCAGGGGCTCAGGCTCCCACCCGCAGTGTTTCTGTCGGTGTTTCTCTCCGTACGTGGAGTTGAGCAGGATGAGGTACTCCGCCAGTCCAGCATCACTCAGGCTGGTCCTCCTGCGGAGCTCGCTCCACAGCTTGTGGGACTCTCCGAGGTACACCCGCCTCACGTCGTACTTCTTCCGGGACTCCAGACGTCTCTGGGCTCGGTCGGAGTCCGTGAGCCTCGGCCGTCCCCTGCAGCGCCTCAAAACCCCTTGGTCTCCGGCTCCCTGAGTGTCCAAAGCACCGTCTTCGTCTCCCAGGCAATGCGCCATATTGGTTTCAACAGCTGACTACACCGGAAGTAGCCTCATGTCTTACAGGAAAATAGAAAAAAAGAATAAAATAGAAATTTAAAAAAATACTTTTGTTTTTATGCTGAAGCTTATTAAACAAACAATAGTAAAAAAAAAAAAAAAATTCAACGTATTTGTGTTCACATGCGTTTCAGCCGAAGAACGGATCTGCGACTGTCAGAGGCTGGTGTTGTGTGGAAAAAAGCACCCCCGCAAAACCTAGCACTCCTGTAAGGGAAGCGCATTATAAACTTTTTTTTGTTTGTTTCAGAAATAAACTAAGTAAAAGTGAAATGTGACAGACTTGTGGTTTTATTTTCATGAATAGCACTAAGCTGCGCACCCTCCTTCGAAAGTTTCTTGACTGAAGTATGCATTATTATTTTTAAAAGTGATGCATGCTTACTCCTGTAACTTAAAAAAATAGTTGGGGTTTAAATGTTTTCGCTTCTTGCATTGTATTAAAACATTCATTAGCTTGTCATAACGATGACATAATGTTAACTGTGTCGTTGAGGGTGATGGCGTTACTGAAAACTACGGAGCACGACGAGGGTTCTTTCTTCGGTACAACACCGGTGGCTGTCTCAAAATGGAACCCAGTAATGTTTGTACCCGGACCACTTCCGCCCACTTCAGCTCCACGGCAGCAGCAAACGCGGCAAACTTGAGCTCCACACGTCGTTCTCGCAGTAATGACGGACATTTTGACGCTCGTGTTCAAGACCTTCATGTCCGAGAGTGGTCTTAAGAAGGACCCCAGTGTTTGTCCTCCCTCACCCGCACCCTGCAGCGCCCTCATGGTGGGAGATCACCGCATCAGCCGCTCCCTGCTGCTGCTGGCGGCCGTCACCGCCGCCTCAGAGAGGGGCCTCAAGGTGCTGTTCTTGGCCCAGACTCAAATTCAGAGCCTGCCTGTGTTCCTGCAGAGGTGCAGTCCGAGTCTGAGCCCAGAAAGTCTAAAGGTAGAACTCAAACATGTGCATGTGTATACATATACACGTTTATTTATTTGGTGTTACTTCATTAATCTGGAGTTCTTTGTGTGGGTCCATCACTTGTAATCAAATTATCTATTTAAAATATCAGGTCTCTCTTGTAAATGAGTCCTCAAGGCTCAATGGGATTTACCTGTATAAATAAAGGTTGATTGATCTATTTAAAATAAATAAGGGGGGGGGGGGGGTCTGTAAACCCAGTGTAATGTTTGATGGCACGGCGTCACACGAAGACACATGTTATGATCTAGCCTCTGTTACTGTACATAACATAATTTCATCTGTCTTGATTTTTATTTTATTTTATCTTGATTTTGAAGAAAATCACATTTTCCTACCCGCGGACCCTGGAGGAGCTGCTCCAGCAGGTTGCCAGTCTCCACGAGTCCCCCGCTCCCCCCTCGCTTATCATCATTGACAGACTGGAGGGCTTCCTGCGGGGAGCTGCAGGCCACGGCCACAGTGGATTTCACTCAGGAGAGCAGTCCTGTGCTGCACATGTGTGTGCGCTGCTTTGTGACACCACTGCCTTTCTCACACAGAGGGGGTCCAGTTCAGCCCCCTCCTCCTTCATTGCTTCCTTCCTGTCAGATGGAGACGCTGGGCAAGACGGCAAGGAGTCGTCCACAGATCCGATTCTTGATGTTCTTGACCGTTATTTCCAGGTGCGCTGCACTCTGGACCAGGACAGAAGCTACGAAGCTGTGGCTGCTGCAGCGCAGGAGGCGTGGCACATTTACCTTTCAGGGAGAGGACTCGCAGAGAGCTGTGAAGACGGGCCATCCGTGGCCCAGGAGTGGAAGCTCTTCATTTTCCCAGATGGTTTAATGGAGTTCAAGTTGGTTTGAAAGAGGAAGGACGACTGAATTAACCATAACTGTTCTGCTACAAAGTTATGTGAACTCATTGTCTTTTCAAATATGATTTAAAATGACCATATCATTCTAGATGCGCATTATTTAGTTTGAAATCTGATAAACATACACGGAAGATATGTTAGCTGTGGCATCCTGAATGGAAAATGTTCATAACTGAACAATAATTTTCAAAATGTTGGGCTCCATATCATTTTCTGAATATTGTCTTGCATACACATTAAAATAAAACAAATATGTGGAAATGTACATTTATATTAAAATATTTATTTTGTGACGTCTGTTTTTTTATTGTAATGCAACTTAATACATTTCACTGGTAGAGAGCTTTCAAGACAATAACGCTGCAAAATATAAATTCATCTTCAAGGAAAATATTAACAGATACAAGGTTGTTGTTTTTTTTTAAACCAACGGACAACTGGAATCCTAGACGAGCTAAAATATGGAAATATGTTGCTGCCACAAACAAAAATAAAATGAAACTATTGTCATATAGCATGAAAGGTTTATTTTTCATAATCAATTTTTTATGTTATACTTTATGTTACATTTTATTTTTCTTAGATTATAACAAAACCTCATTGCAATTATTATTTTGTAATTATGTGATAACGTATTCCTACAATTTAATAAAGTTGTGTTTAAACAAGTACCATAATTTCTGGTCTATAAGCCACTGCGTTTTTCACAGGCTTTGAATCCTGCGGCTTATACAATGATGCAACTAATTTATGGATATATATATATATAATATATATATATATATTTTTTTTTTTTACAAGCTTCATGCCACCAAAACATTCAGCCTTGCCATCTGGGCACTCACATAGCTGCCTCAGTCCTCGTGACTCAACGAGACTACCTGTATAAATAAAGGTTAAAAAATCTGACCAATAAAATGACCAAACAGGTCACAGTGGACCAATGAAACGGGGAAAGAGGAGAGAATGGGGACCACATTCTCCCCTCTCCTTAGATATTTAGTTAAATATATGCATTTACATATTATAGTATTATATTGTAGTAGGCCTAAAATTTAATTAGAAATCCAAAAAATCTTTGTATATATATATATATATATATATATATATATATATATATATATATATCATGTTAGAACGTGGACACCCACGACTTCTACACAAGCGCAGCTTATATATGTACAACTTTTGTTTGTTTTGTTTTAAATTTTAGTGGGCGTGGCTTATATTTGGGTGCGCTCTATACTCCGGAAATTACAGTATATCTTATCGTGTAAAACAGTGTTGAAATGTGAATATAATGTAAGAACTTAAACATGTTGCATAATGGGAAAAGAATAGTGTTTGAACAATGAACGTTTTAAATGGTAACATTTATTTTTGCTAAATGTGCTTGCGTAAAAATGCATACTGGATGTAAATTATATGTTTCATTTTGATGACTAAAGTAATAATTCATCTTCCACTTGAGGTGGTGAACCTTGATTTGTCGCTGTTTTTAGTCTATTTGAAATGAAAACTTCATAGATTTGTTTGTATTTTAAAATCCATTTATTTTTCAGATTTTCAAAACATTTTAAGGCAAAAGAAGAACGCTTTTAAAAGAAATGCATTGTAAAATAGAAAACATTAAATTGTGCTTAACTAAATTGAACAAAAATATGATATTAAAAGTAAAATATAGATATAGGTATAAAAAGAGAAAAATAGCACATTCACTTTTTTTAAAATCATTGCTTGTGTCATAATACTTTTCTCCATACAACATAAAAAATGCTTTGAAATGTATGTACATTTAAAGTATTTACAATTTTAATTTCTATTCCACACCATCAAAGAAGCATTAAAAAGTTACAAACAAGATTTGCAGTGCACTGACCTGAAATGTTTTGTGTAAAAATGTTAGGCCTACTTTGCTCTTTAGATGGCAGTGTTCAAAAAATAAAATGTGGAAGAAAAATAAACCAACATCTACAGTTTGTTGGAAGAGAGAGTTGTAATGCACATTCTACAGTAACAGTAATTTTAGGTATTTACTTGAAAATTTTTAGAAATAAAGGCAAAAATTTATTGCTTTGATTTCAAAAGAAAAGAAAAATACTTTTAGCTTTAATTTTCAAATTTAACAAAACAGCATTTAATTATTATTATTTTGTATTTTTGAAAAACAATAGTTTACCATATGTATTATAGGTAATAAACCCAATTGAAAGATCAAAAAACAATTAGTACATGTGTAACACTTTATAGCTTTTAACTCTAAGCTTTAGTTTTAATGTTTCAATTTGTTAAGATCTTTTACAAATTGTGGAAGAATGCAAATTTGTTGCTGAAATGGGAAGTCAGCTCTACTCAAGCTTCTGTTAGTTTTATTTGATCAGCTGATCAGACGTACAACAGCATGAATAATTGTAAAATTGTTCCATCAAGTCGTCTCATCAAAGTTTAAATTTCAGAACTTTAGAGCTGAAAACCTCGAAAGCTAAACATTTCCCAAGTTTATTCAGTTTCAGCTTGTGCTAACGACCAAATGTTAGCATGCTAAACATGATGAATGAAGATTGAATTAAGATTAATGTGTTAGCATGAGATGTGTTAGCATGAGATGTGTTAGCATGAGATGTGTTAGCATGCTAAGATGAGGAACTAAGATTACAACACATGTTATTAGCATCAATACGCTAACAGTTCTCAATTTATCCATCCATCATCTTTACCCGTTTCTTCCTTGTCGGGGGGTCACTGGTGTCACTGGTGTCACTGGTGTCCATACCTAACAGTCACTGTATGAGAGGTGAGGGACACCCTGGACAGGTCTCCAGTCCATCACAGGGACACATGGAGACAAATGAGACAACCATTCACTCTCTCACTCACACCTAGGGACAATTTAGCATGTTGAAATTAGTAGCTTCAAGTACAGCTACTAACATTCTCTTAAGTCTTATTTGAAAAAAAAAAAAGTTAGCATGGAAAAAAATAAGCAACTATATGTAAAGCTTTATACATTTATCAAGGCACTTGTGATGATAATTTGATCCACGCAAAGGAATTTACCCACAATAGTAAAGTATAGGTGAAATAAAGTAAGTTATTTGTTATTAGCTGTCTTGCATTTCAGTGTTTAACATGGATCTGATAGCAATTCTGCCATTTTAACAACAACAAAAAAACAAGCGTACACTTAGCTCATATACGAATATATTGTTTAGTCACACAACTGAAATATAAAATTTCCTATCTAACCTGAAAGACACAGCAGATTAGCATGTAGAATGCTGAATATCAGTATTTGTAGTAACTCACAGCTGATATTTCTGGGCGAGTGTAGTGTCTTGATACATCCAACAAACCCTCCACTTTGAGCCATTTAGCTTACTCTTTGGTGTCAGTCAGCTCCTTGCTTTGATTTTTTTTCTTAACAGTTAATGGAGACTTATGTAAAAAAAAATATTCACCGATCCTCAGTCCACATGTAATTGGTCCAGTCTGACTTCTCGTCAGCCATCATCATGGACAGGGTACTGCCTCAACAAGACGGGTCTTCTGTGAGCTGGAATATCATTTTTATACTCATTGGCATAGATCGTCACTTTCCCTAGGTCGTCGGCTCTGATCATGGGGCTGTAATCCATTGAGACGCCAGAGTCTGCCGCTGCCATGTAAGTGTACCCAGGGCCTTTAGGTGTCCAGGCTTGGTTTGGATACTCAAAGCTGGACTGAGATGAAAGGCGACCTGACCCAGAACTTTGCTGCACGGACCCTAGGTCAGAGTGGGACTCACTCAGTGTTGTCTTCCTAGAGGCAAAAAGCACCTCCAGGGGTAAGGTTTCCTCAAAACTGTCATTGATGTGGTCGTCTTCACTGGGATTGTTGGCACTGAGGGTGACGTATGTATCTTGAGATTCCAGCAAAGAAGCCTGGGAGCAAGGGACAGGGTTCTGTTGAAACGCTCGTAAGCGATCCATCAGCCACTGGTCGTGTGGCATGGCTCTCCACTCATTTGTCTGAGCTGAATCACTTGTGTTTGACAGCTCTCTCTCGATAAGTCCTGTCTTTAGACCATTGTCCTCCTTTTTATTGGCAGTGGTCAAAGCTTTGCAGGCCTTGGGTGGAAGAGGTGGGGAGGGCAGAGAGGGGCAAAGGTTGAGTTCTGAGAGTACTTCCAGAGGAGAAGGACATTCTTCAGAGTAGATAAGAGCTGAAGTCACCCACAAGCCTCCACTGGTCTGGCCTAACCACTCCTAAAGCAAAACCAAGACGTATTAGAGCTTTCCTTGTCAGCGTGGAACTTAATTAAACTTTTTTTCAGGGAATTTCTCAGGGAGATACTGTGCATTTAGACTTTTCTCATTCTTACCTGGAAATCCCCACCATAAACAGTGAAAAGACCTTGGAATTTGCTATCAGGCGTTGGGATAACTGGCCAAATCTTCCTTTGAAGGAACCTGAAAAAATATATAGAAGTAGATTGTTTCACTGGACTGATTCAAACAAACATTCTTTTGGCACTGGGAGGTTGGTATGTTTTTGATGCACTGACCTGTGATGGGACAAAAACATGACAAGACAAAGAAGAATGAGGATGAAGGAGATGATGAACGTCATTGACACGATGAGTGGGTCAAGTTCTGTGGGAAGCAAAGTACGCAGGTTTGACTTCCATCCTTCACTGTACAGTAATGTGCTACTACTGTAGACTATTCAAAATATCCTTGAGCTGCTGTGAGTACAGTGTTTGGACAGTAAATGTATATGAATATTCACCTGCAGGCAGAGTTTCCATAAATACAGGGTCACTCCAGGCACTCCAATAGCCATTGTAGGTGTTACCATCCAACTTCACACGGACTTGTACCCTGTACTTTGTACCAGGCTGAAGATCTCGGAGTATTAACTCAGAACGGCTATGTACCACCTCCACCTGTGGAATAAAAAACCTTGTAAGGAAATATCTACACATCACGGTAGCAAGCGTTGCAAATTCGTCAGTCGTCCTTGCATTACTGGAGTAACCGCCATACCTGGCCAACGTGGCTGTCTGCTGGAGCGTAGATAATCTCATATATCACGCTGTCATAAATGTACATCCGAGTAGGCGTAAGCCAGCTAACGTTCAGCTGACCTTGATGACCCGTGCTGCTCACTGTCACATTGTCAGGAGGGTCCAGAAGAACTGCCAAACAGACAGAAGGGGAATTGTTTGGGAGGATTTTGGAACCATTTCTCTTACAAAATAAATCCTCTGAAATATTTAAATACCTTGTTATATATTTTTTGCAGTTACCATGTTAGTTTAAGCCGCTACACAAAACTTGAATTATGCAGCTGAAACCAAGAGTGGAGGACGACACAGATATTTTATGGCCAACAGAGATCACGTAGCAACAATAGTTTACAAATGTTATTGTTTTCAGCAGACTCAGAGCAAGATTTATTTGGTGTCATTCTTGTGTCCACTCATTTTATGAAAATTGCACCAAAGACCAAGGTTGTGTTTCAACATCAACAGTTAGAGCCACTTACAAACAAGATCGATGAAAAGGCTGCGATTGTAGAGCTGGAGTCCGTCCCGGTGAACCTGGATGTCCAACTGGACGAACATCTGGATCCGGTTCAGATGGCAGATGAAGAGCCGTTTCCCGCTCGCCACGGGGACGACTCTCAGGGGGCACGTGCTGCTGTTTTCATTTCTGGGGACAGACGAAGACGTCGAGGGTTCAGAGAATGGACAGAGCTTCACAACACAAACACGTTGTCACTTTATTTGTTCTCTCCTAAAACATAACGTCAGTGCATAAAGTGAAACATCATTCTGTTGTAAACCTGAATTTACACATGAGGAGGGGACAAAGAGGCGCAGTGACAGTTTTATCAGAAAGTGTCTTACTGGTAGGCATAGGTGAAGGAGTACTGGTCCACAGAACCAGCCCTCTCCTCGTCTTCCTCCCAGAAGCACTTGAAGTCATTCCTGCTCTCAGCAAAGCACTTTGGGTTTTCTGGTTCCTCTTTCAGAAGCAAGGAAGCTGAGCAGGAAAAGGATGGCAACAAGTGAGAGATCCCCACGTGACCAAGAGTTTTATTGACTGCTGTTTTATTACATTAATAAAAAAAATATATACAAAGCAGACCCCTTTAGTTGTGCTTCTGTTTAGATCCTCTCAATAATTCCAATGACGTCACCATTTCATACCTTTCCTTTGGAAATCCTGCGCGCCCTGAACGCAGGACAGCGTCCCGGTGGCGCAGAGGACCAGGCCAAGAGCCCACAGCCGGCGGAGTTGATCACATGTCATCCTTTTGTCCTCTCCGTGAACAGAAAGACTCGGAGCGTCTGCTCGGCACCTGCATCACTAAAACAACCGCTTGACACAAACACGCGCGCTCTTCTTCTTGCCAGGAGTGAAACTATAGTGTGTGTGCGTGTTTTTTTCTTCTTCTTCTGTGTTCCTGTATCACGGGAAGGCGCAACGCGGTTACGCGCCTGCCTCTGAGAGATAAGACGGAGAGACGAGCTGTTTACAGCTCAGGGGAGGTGGAGCCCAAGAAACAGTGCAAGACAACTTTCTACTGCCTGGTTGGTGGTGGTGGTGGGGAATCACGCGCTCATTGATGTTTGCGTGCGTAAAGGAGGTGTCGTGCGTAAAAACGCACAGACAGAGATGGATGGATAAATGGATAGATGGATAGATGGATAGATGGATAGATGGATAGATAGATAGATAGATAGATAGATAGATAGATAGATAGATAGAT